GCTTGTGCGCTCCCTGTCCGCCCTGAAGCTGGAAACGCCGGTAGTAGAGTTGGACCTGAGTGAACACGCACTTCCAGTCCGGCACCTTCATTTTCATCAGATCCTCCACATCCAGCAGGGGGGACACATTGCCGAGTTTCCTAATTTTAACAGAAGACGAAGATACATCACATGATTAAAACTCGTTATCACAGTACAGAAGGCGGCTTGCCAATAGAAAGGCTCACAACGCAGAAGCGAGGGAATACAGCTTGCGTTAGACCAGCTTTCAGTAAAAAAAGCGTCTGGCTTCTTCGCTAGGAGCTGCGTCTTCAGGCACCTGTCAATCCGCGTCTACCCTGAATGCGACTTTGTTGTACGCGGCCAATCAACAACCGACGCAACATCGATCGGCCTCGAGTTCTCGCGCGTGAGACGAAGAGAATAGGCAGCGTTACAAAGCGGCGGCGCTGATGACCTTGACAGCAAACAGCCACAAAATTTCCAAAGCTTATTTGCCATCCGCACTACTTCAAGTACATCGGAATTAAAGCCCCAGACCAATTAGAACTCTGCTTAGCCCCCATTTTGCAGAAGGGTGTGCAAAGGTACAGGAACATCGAACAGTTGCAAGTTCTTGGTGTATTTGCCGTGTTTCCTAAACGGTACCCATATCCTGATCTCCACAACAATTGGAAGAAGACGAGCCAAATAGACTTGCTTTAATCGATGATTATCTTGACCGCCAAGTACACGCTGTCTTCGCGCCTTTCTTTTCGCTATGTAACAACACATTCCTGGGATCTGCAAATATTCCCACGTTTAATTTGAAAAGTTCATTTGGTAAACGTATGTTTTCAGAAACTCTTAAGCAGGCCAGTACCTTTGCAGGGATAATAAAAGTTTTACAGTGCTTGCACACCTTGTCAATGAAAATCATTGAGTCGATACTAATATAGTCTTTGAGGTTGTCTAACGGATACCAGCTAACTTTTTCAAGGGCCTACGCCAATGAGTGCTTGCAACAGTCGAAGCAGCAGTTATACGGCTAACAAATTCAGTGCTGTGTTGTCAGAAGATGATAAAACAAACACTTTAACTTCTGTAGCTGATGCCGACGCCAGGTGGCGATCGCACATTGCCCCCACCTCCTAAGGGCAACAATTCGCGCCATGCAAATGACATTAATTATCAC